TGTTTTTCTCAAAAAAATCAGAATGACTGGCTACACTCAGCCTACATTCCAACATGACAATATTTTATGTGCAGTGTGGACTCTGCTATTCGTCACAGTTCCCACTGAGCCTGCTTCATTTTTATTACAACAAGCCTGGCCCCTGAAGTCATCTAAGTTTGTGTCTTCTGGCTGGAAGCACAGTCTTTTTTCTTGGGATGCTGCTCCTGCCCCACCTTCGTGGTGGGGTTTTGGTCTCAGCTGCTAGTCACACTCCCTTAGCCACACAGATGAGTGGGTGACCCAGGCTGGTCAGTCCTACAAGGAGACAGTACCTAAATGAGGCCAATCGGAGTCCTGCTGGGATGTATGAAACATGAACTGGGAGAAGAAAGTCCTGTTAGCCTCAGCCCCCAAGCTGTAATGACAGGTAAGAAGAGGTTGCACTGCAAGAAAGAAGCAAAGCAGGCCAGGCGTGGTGGCTCACGCCTGTAATCTTAGCACTCGGGGGTCCAAGGCAGGCTGATTGCTCGAGGTCAGGAGTTCGAAATCAGCCTGAGCAAGAGCGAGACCCCGTCTCTACTAAAAATAGAAAGAAATTAATTGGCCAACTAATATATATAGAAAAAATTAGCCGGGCATGGTGGCGCATGCCTGTAGTCCCAGCTACTGGGGAGGCTAAGGCAGTAGGATTGCTTGAGCCCAGGAGATTGAGGTTGCTGTGAGCTAGGATGATGCCACGGCACTCACTCTAGCCTGGGCAACAAAGCGAGACTCTGTCTCAAAAAAAAAAAAAAAAGAAGCAAAGCAAGAAACAGAGACCAAAGACAGAGAGAGGAGTTGTGACGGCTGCTGAGTCTCTGTATCCAGGCATCCCCAAGGCTACCCCACCCTTCCCCTGCCGAGTGTCAGAAGATGTACATTTCTGTCTTTTCCCAATGGGGGTTGGATGGAATTTCTATCATTTGCAACCAGAGTTGTGAATAATAATGAGGTGGTTAGAAGGAGGATGGACTTCAAATTAACATTCAGAATCCACATTTCCACCATGTGCTAACTCAGAGATTTTGGACAATTAGTTGATCCCTTCCGCCTCAGTTTCTTTATTTGTAGAATGGGTACTATTGCTTACCTCCTCAGGTGGAATGGAGTTCTCACAATGCAAGGCATGTAAAGCATTAAATTCAATGTTTGTGCATAATAGGCACTCACAAAGTATTTTATAAACACTGAATTTTATGATAGATGTTTAATAAAAACTGGTGGACTGGAACTCAGAAGAGTGAGCTCATTCCTGAAGAATTGTAGCAGTGTTCTTTAAGGTTATATTCCCAAATCAATACTGCCTTCAGAGGCTTTGAGATTGCCTGGAAGAAGCCAGGCCTCAACCCGGTAGAGTTGGATTTATATTATGGTTCACTGTTTAAATAACTGTGTGATTTTGGGTCAGTTATTTAAGTTCTTTGATCATGAGTTTCCTCCTATAAAGTGGAGACAGTAATTCTCAGTTATTTCAATTATTTTGAGAATTAAATTAATTCATTAACATAAAGAGTGCCTAGAAGTATATAGTAAGCATTCAATATATTGTAGTTATTATTATTGTGAAGAAAAATGAACAAAAGCCACAGGCAAGAGCTAGCCAAAAGTTTCATTTCTGAGGAATGGTTGCTATTATAATTTCTAGTATTTGAATTTCAATTGAGCTAAAACTGCATGTAAGTCATCAGAGCACAATGCTGTTCTGTTTAGTTGTGCCAAGAACTCACCTCCTGCACCAACTCCAGTCCAGCCAAGCCCAGCATCTCCCACTAGTCAAATCCTTCCTATGTTAGCCTCCAGCAACAAGCCTTTTAAGCAGATTTCCATTAAAAAATGAAAAAAAGAGAAAGCTTTGGATGATTAATTAGCAGCAGAATAATTCGAATCAAGAGAGATCATGATGTGCAAAGAATCTTTTTTTCTTTTTAAGAAGTGAAGTCTAACAACTTTCAAACGGCAGCCAAAATGATCAAGGTTTTTGACATTTTTAGGCCAAAATATGACTTTATATTGTTGACTCTCTAGACCCATGCCCACTTCGCTGTACAGAGGACACACCGGAGGAAGAAGTGGAAGAGGAATAAGATGGGTCCCCAGGAAGCTTTGCCTCTTTGTTCGGTCTTGGCAACAAGCCTAAGCCTGACTTGCACAAAATCTCCTGGTGTGTTTGTCACAACAGCCTGCCTTGTGTGGCCCCACCAGCCAGCCAGGCCTTACACAGCCCCGTGTGGTGGCCAGGGCCAGGGCTGATTAAGGCAGGATCAAGCTGGTGATATCTATTCCTTTAGTGAGCTCTTGAAAATAGTGCCCGATGGAAATGTCTTTTGTAGGGACCTAGCACCACAATGCTCTGCACGAGCCTCTCCATCTCCAGTCTGAGTTTTTTGTCCTCATGGAGAAACTACACTGCACTCCCGTGCTGCTGCAGGAGTGTCGCATCTGCTGGCAGAGCTGGTGGGGGGCTGTGAGGTCCCGGGCCACCTGCAGCAGCCTTTCCAACTTGGACGCATGCTCAAGCTCCAGCTCCTGCTTCAGGGAGGCCATGCAGCCACGGATGCCACGGAGCAGGCAGTTTCCGATGGTGTCAGTCATGGTCCGCTTGCCGATGGCACCACTGGACAAATCCCCCATGAGCCTTTCCATGTCCTGTGGAGGAAGCATAAACATACCCTTAGAAAAGCCTTGAAGGGAGGCATTTAGATCTGTAAGCTCGTGCTTTGCTTCAGCCTAGTCTTTCATTCTGAGGCAAGAAGGCCTCAGGCCTGGCAGACACTGCTGGTTGCCTGCCTACTACCCATATTTCATCTCTTTCCTATCCAGAGAACTCTGATCCTTTGGGGGCAGCAATGTGGGCAGCTAAAAATACTACACTCATTTCCTGCTTCCCTTGCAGTTGGGGTGGTCAGGCATGCAATAGAAGCAGAAGTATTAGCCGGCCGAATGGCACATCCCAGCTACTTGGCAGACTGAGGCAGGAGGATCACTTGAGCCCAGGAGTTGGAGAGTTCGAGGCTGCACTGAGCTTAGTGAGCTATGATTGCACCACTGTACTCCAGCCTGGGCAACAGAGCAAGATCCTACAAAAAAAAAAAAGAAAGAAAGAAAGAAAAGAAAAGAAAAAGGAAAAAGGAAAAAAAGTAGAAGCTGTGTGTAAAGTTTCCTCTGAGACAAGTGTTGAGCCTTACCCTTCCCTGATCCCTGTCAAGACCATGGACACGATGACCACATGGGACAACCATCCCCGAGCCCATGTGCTGACAAGGGCACACACAGCATGGCAGAGAGAAAAGGGCAGGAGTATCGTGGAGCCCCCAAGCCAGTGAGCTTAGACCAGGGGTCCTCAAACTTTTTAAACAAGGGGCCAGTTCACTGTTCCTCAGACCATTGGAGGGCCGGACTATAGTTTTAAAAAAACTATGAACAAATTCCTATGCACACTGCACATAACTTATTTTGAAGTAAAAAAACAAACAGGCAAAAACACCCTCATGGGTTCCCCCTTTTTTGCTTGTTTTTTAACAAGGCAGGAAACTGAGACCCAGGGCTACAGAGCTGGTAAGAGCCAAGATTCTCCCCAGGGTCTGCCTGACTTCACGTTCCCCTGCATTATGCTGCCCCAATAGGGAAGACATGATCACTCAGTGATGCCGTGGCTGGGTGTTAGGGATGAACTAGAGGCCACCAGGTCAAAAAGACTAGGCAGGGCATTGTCAGCCATGGGCAGTCTAGAATGGGAGATGTTGACTTTTTCTACAAATAATACAATGCTTGTGTTTGAGATTTCATTTTCTTCAAAACTATTCAAGTAATGTCCTCCATGTGGTAGAAAGTCTAAGCCAGGCGTCCTCAAAGTTTGAGGACGCCTGGCTTAGACTTTCTACCTCCAGGTATTTCATTAAGGCAAAAATTAGAACCACTAATTCTTTAAAGCTAGTGCTCGTGGTCTTCTGGTAGAGCCAAATGCAGATCCTTTTTGAAAGAATAGCCACATGGAGGACATTACTCTTAGCTCTTCCTTAGTATCCCCGGCTTGTCCATTCTAGATGCATCACACTATCTTGCAAACATACTAGGATTTCCTTTGATGAGAATTGGGATCACAGTTCAAAATAGTACAGTATAAAAATATTCTAATACTATGCACACCTTTGAAATAATGTGACCTTTTCTCAAATGCAAATGTATCAAGAATCACCATTTCGAAAACCACCTTTTTACTCTAACCAATTTAGTTGATAAATGGGTATTTCTCTATCCTGTATTTATGGGCGTTGACCAGCTAGTATGTGTTTCAGTGTCTCGTTTGAGCCACTAATCTCCATTAGTCTTCTTGAGGGCAACAAAAACACACAAACGTAATAAATATACAACAAATTATTGCAATACTGATAAATGCTCAGAGAAGGGATAAAGGAAGAAACAGCAGGATCAGAAAACAGTGGCAGAGGGCCGAGGGCTCTTTATTTTGGGTGTTCTGGGAATGCATCTCTGAGGAAAGGCCTGATTGCCAAACAATGGTGATATCTAAGGGGAAGATTTTCCAGGCAGACGGGCCAGGAGGACGCGGGACCATTGGGCAGGTGTGGGGTGCTGTCAGGAGGCGCTGAGGCTGGGCCTGAGCAGGGCACAGTGGGGGCGAGGAGGCGGAGGGGCGAGGGCAGATGGTGCAGGCTCTGGAGGCCAGCGACTGGATCTACAGCATAGCGGACCTCCCAGGCCTGGCCAACTGGGATTTTGAACAAGGGAATGGCCCGATCTGCGATGTTCACCCCACTCGGTCGTGAAGAGGAGCAGGGTGGGCACGAAGAGCCCAGGCGGGCGCGCGAAGGGGCCAGGCCAAAGCTGACAAGGTGTGAGCAGGCGAGCGGGGGAGAGGGCGTCTGAGCCGGCGTCCACGGGAGTGGGTGGACGCAGCTGGCGAGGGGGCTGTGTCTGGAGCTGAGGAGAAAATGAGGAGCAGGTGGGGCTGGGAGTCGGGAATGTGGAACTCCACTGTGTTTGAGGTGCTGAGGACGCGCCACCGGGGCTCAAGCAGGGAGCTGTGTGTGCGGCTGGGGCGGGAGCGGGAGCCCGAGGCGGGCGGAAGGCAGGGCCAGGCCGGAGCGGGAGCGGGCCACGGGAACGCGGCGGGCGGAAGGCAGGGCCCGCGGGAGCGGGAGCGGGAGCGGGCCGCGGGCACGCGGCGGGCGGAAGGCAGGGCCCGCGGGAGCGGGAGCGGGCCACGGGAACGCGGCGGGCGGAAGGCAGGGCCGCGCGGGAGCGGGAGCGGGCCGCGGGCACGCGGCGGGCGGAAGGCAGGGCCGCGCGGGAGCGGGACTGGGCCGCGGGCACGCGGCGGGCGGAAGGCAGGGCCCGCGGGAGCGGGAGCGGGACTGGGCCACGGGAACGCGCGGGCGGAAGGCAGGGCCCGTGGGAGCGGGAGCGGGCCACGGGAACGCGCGGGCGGAAGAAAGGGCCCGCGGGAGCGGGAGCGGGCCACGGGAACGCGCGGGCGGAAGGCAGGGCCCGTGGGAGCGGGAGCGGGCCACGGGAACGCGCGGGCGGAAGGCAGGGCCCGCGGGAGCGGGAGCGGGCCACGGGAACGCGCGGGCGGAAGGCAGGGCCCGTGGGAGCGGGAGCGGGCCACGGGAACGCGCGGGCGGAAGGCAGGGCCGGGCGGGAAGACTTCCGGGCGCGCAGACAGACAGACGGCCGGGCTGGCCTGTGGGCCCTGCCAGATTGCCTACTCTGGCGCGAGGAGGAAGGCCGAGAAGCGGCCAGGTCGGCCGTAGAAGGTGCGAAGGACAGGAAGAGTCGGGCTCCTGGAGGCCAGGTGGCCACTTTAATCCATTCAAGCCCAGGAGGTCGGTCTGGACACTGACCGCCACCCACGGTCTGGAAACGGGTCTCCCGAGACGTCGGCACGTTTGGGCAAGAAAGAAAGAAGTTAGTACAGAGAAGACCAGTGACCTTATTGTATCCTTCACCCGCTTGGGTCATTTCAGATTTTAAATATTTCTTTGTATTTCTTTTGTGTTTTCAATACTAGCTTGATTGTTTTTTAGCTTCCAAGAAACTTTACAGTTCCGTACTATGTAGGAAATATTACAGTGCTACAAGTTGTGGATTATTTTACGCTTGTAAAACCATGTATTTTCTGATAAGTAAAGGCTAAGTGATCTTCTTCCCTCCCTCTCCACCTTCCTCTCCTCCTCCCTCGTTCTCTCTCTCTCTCTCCCTGTCCCCCTCCCTCCCTCCCACCACCGCACCTGGCTAGAAAATGATCCATTTGCTGATAAATGTTTTAGGGCTTTATATAGAGAACAGAGCCACAAATACAAAAATTTTAACATAGACTACAAAACCTTAGTCATTAGCTTGAATGAGTCATTTAAATTTCTGTTTTTGTGATAAAGAATGGATGGCACAGTAAAATTATTTTTGAATAGATCAACTCCCATGGAGAAGTTCACAAAAGAACACACACTTGTTTATTTCTCCCAGTCTTGGGGAGTAAATGTGGTTTTCTTTCATACACCTCAGTGTATAAGGAGGGTGAGATTAATATGGTGTCCAAAGCAGAGCCCTCCAGTTCAGAGTGTAGCAGTGGGGCATTTCTCCAAACTATTAGTTTTTGCTCTTCACTACCATTGAACTTCAGCTTAAAATTTTCTTATTCCTTCAATAAAACCAAGCTACTAATAGTTGAGAAATATCTACTGATCAAACCAAAGCATTTGTAAGCAACAGGAGGAATAAAATTAATTGAGTTGGAACTCTGTCTTGCTCACTGTTGTATACCCAGTCATCATCACAGAGTCTAGCACTAGACAGGCACGCAAGAAAGATAAATGAATGAATGAATGAGGAAAATATATATACTTTGTTTTCTCATAATACCATGCTTGTTAGAGATCAATAAGCCAAATTTTTCAATTTCCTTTAAGATTTTAAAATAACTTTATTGAGTATAATTGATGTACAAAACAGTGTACAGTTTGATAAATTTTGCAACTTATTTAATGTTTTGAAACCATCACCACAATCAAGACAATGAACCTATCTATCCCTCACAAAAGTTTCTCTTCTCTCTTCATAACTTCCTCCTTTCCACCATCTCATGCTTCCCCTCCCCAAGCAATCACTGACCTTCTTTCTCTGATTGTGTGTTTGCATTTTCTAGAATTTTACATAAAGGGATCCTGCTGTTTTTTGTCTTGTTCTTTCACTCAGCAATTGTCAGTTGTCTTGAGTTTGTGTCTACTATTTAGAAAAGTTTACTTTGAACATTTGTGTACAAATCTTTGTATGCATATCTGTTTCCTATTCTGAAATGTTTTAAAACCTAGGAGTAGAATGATGGATTTAACTTTTTTTAAAAACTGCTAAACTGTTTGCACCATTTACCTTACCAACAGCAGTGTATGAGCTCCAGTTCTTCCACATCCTTGCCAACACTTGGTACAGGTTAGCCTTTCTAATAAGTGTGGAGTGGTAGCTCATTGTGGCTTTCTTTGCATTTCCCTAATGACAGTCTTTTCATATGCTTATTTGCCATCTGTGTAGTTTTCTTTGGTGAAGAGTCTGTACAATACTTTGCCCATTCTTTTGAGTTGTTTTCTTATTGTTGAGTTTTGAGAGTTCTTTGTATATTCATCTTTTATATGTGCTTTGCAAATATTTTCTCCTATATTTTCTTATTTAAGTTTTATAGTTTTAGGCATTATGTATAGGTCTGTGATCTAGTTAGAGTTAATTTGTACAATATAGTGAGAAATGGATGCAGGTTCATTTCCCTCCCTCCCTCCCTCTCTCCCTCCTTCCCTCCCTCTCTCCCTCCTTCCTGCCTTCCTTCCTTCCTTCCTTTCTTTCTTTTCTTTCACCTATGAATATTCAATTGTTCCAGCACTATTTGCTGAAAAGTTTATTCTTTCTCCCCTGCAGTGCCTTTTGCAGCTTTTTCAAATCTCAGCTGTCCGTAGGTGTGTGGATTTATTTCTAGGTTCTTTATTCTGTTCCACTGTTCTACTTGTCTATTTTTATGTCATTATCATTTTGTTATTTTTTATTGTTGTTTTTTGTTTTGAGATAGAGTCTCACTCTATTGCTGGAGTGCAGTGCTGGAGGCTGGAGTGCAGTGGCCTCATCATAGCTCACTGCAGCCTCAAACTTCTGAGCTCAAGCGATCCTCCTACCTTTGCCTTCTGAGTAGCTGGGACTGCATACAGGTGTGTGCCACCACACTGGCTAGTTTTCATGGGATCTTGCTGTTGCTCAGGCCGATGTCAAACTCCTGGCCTCAAGTAATCCTCCTTCCCTAGCCTCCCATTATCATTTTGTTTTGATTGACATAACTTTATAGTAATTCTTGAAATCATGTTGTTAGCCTTCAACTTTGTTTTTCTTTTTCAAAGTTGTTTTTCCTATTCTAGAATCTTTGCCTTTCCATCTGAGATTTAGAATCACCTTGTCAATTTCAAAAATGTTTGCTGGGTTGTTATTTACAATTGTAATAAATCTGTAAAACAATCTGAGGAAAACTGACATCTCAACAATGTTAAGTTTTCCTATGTATGAACAATTTTACCTCGGTTTATTTAGTTCCTGTTTAATTTCACTCAACAATATTTAATCGTTTTCAGGATACAAATATTACACGCTTTTTATATGACTTATCCATAAAGCATTTCATATTTTTGATGCTATTATAATTTCTTTTTTTTAGAAATGGGGTCTTACGCTGTTACCTAGGCAAGTGGCAGTGGCACAATCATAGCTCACTACAACCTCTAAATCCTTCTGCGTCAACCTCCAAAGTAGCTGGGACTTGCTACAACACTGCACGTCATCATGCCTGGCTAATTTTTCTTATATTTTGTAGCGATGGGGTCTCACTATGTTGCCCAGGCTGGCCTCGAACTTGTGGGCTCAAGCAGTCTTCCTGCATTGGCCTCCCAGAGTGCCAAGATTACAAGTGTGAGCTACTGTGTCTGGCCTATAATGATATTTTTAATTTTTAATTGTTTGTTGATAATATTCAACAAACAAATACAAATTGATTTTTGTATCTTCATTGCATATCCTTCAACATTGCTAAACTCACTTATTAGTTCTAGTAACTTGTTGGTTCCATCAGATTTTTTCACAGAGATGATGATATTATCTATGTATAAAGACACATTTACTTCTTCTTTTCCTATTTGGATACTTTTATTTCTAGATGCTTTTATTTCTTTTTCTTGCCTAATTGCACTGGTTAGACCTCTAGTATAATGTTGAATAGCAGTGATAAGAACAGACATTTCTGTCCTGTTTCTCATTTTAGAAGGAAAACATTCAGGGTTTCAAGATTAAGTATGGTGTTATTTGTAGGTTTTCATGCTTTATATGGGTTTTATTGTGTTCTATTCTGTATTGTAATAGGAAATATATATTTAGTCTTAGTCCTCAGTTTCTGGCATATAGTGCCTAAAAACTTGGAATTTCTTGAGTGACAGGAGTTGTAGGAGCATGTTTTGTTACTCATAATAAGTTCCTTCCAACCATACCTGAGTTTATGCTAATGAAGTGACTCTTGGTGGGTCATAGATAGCTTCAGGATGAGGGCTTGTCACCAGAAAGAATAAACTATGATTAGTGGGTTGGAACTTTCAGCCCCATCACCCAACTTCTAGGGAGAGGAAAGGCTAGAAATTGAGTCAATCGCTAGTGGCCAAGGATTTGATCAATTATGCCTGTGTAATGAAGTCTTCATGAAAACCACTAAATAATGGAGTTTGGGGAGCTTCTGGTTTGGCAAACACATTGATAAGCTGGGAAGGTGGCTACAATGGACTGAATGTTTATGTCCCCTCAAAATTCATATGTCGAAACCTAGCCCCTAAGGTGATGGTATTAGAAGGTCAGACAGCAGAGCTGTCATTATTAGGATTAGTGTCCATATAAAAGAGACTTCGGAGAGCTAGCTTGACCCTTCTACCATGTGAGGAGGCACTAAGAGGAAGTGGGCCCTCACCAGACACCAAATCTGTCAGAGCCTTAATCTTAGACTTCCCAGCCTCCAGAACTGTGAGAAATAAATTTATGTTGTTAATAAGCTACCCAGTTTATGATATTTTGTTATCGTAGCCCAAAGAGTCTAAGGCAGAAAATTGGCACTGAGAATCAGGTACTATTGTAACAAATACCTAAAAATGTGTAAGTGGCTTTGGAACTGGTTAATGAGTATAGGCGGAGAGTTTTGAGGTTCATGATAGAAAAAGCATACATTGCTGTGAAAGGACCATGAAAGGCAATTCTAGTGAGGGCTTAGAAAGAAAAGAGGAGAGCTATCGAGAAAGCCTTAACCTTCTTAGAGAATAGGTAAATGGACATGAACATAATGTTGGTAGAAATATGAATGTTTAAAGGTCATTCTGCTGAGGTCTCAGGTAGAACTAAGGAACATGTTATTGGAAGCTGGAGGAAAGGTGACCCTTGTTATAAAGTGGCAAAAAACTTGGCTGAATTGTGTTTGTGTCCTACTGTTTTGTGGAAGGTAGAACTTGTGAGTGATGAAACTGAATATTTAGCTGAAGCTATATCTAAAGAAAGTGTTAAGGATGTGGCCTGGTTTCTCTTGACTGCTTATAGTAAAATTTGAGAAGAGAGAAAAGATGACTTAAAGATGGAATTGTTAATCAAAAGGGAGGCAGAGCTTAAAGATTAGGAAAATTCTCTGTCTATCCATATTGTAAAAAATGAGAAAGTATGTTCAGGTGAGAAGACCCTGGGTGTGGCCAAATGACCATCTGAG